TCCGATTTAGCCTAATCCACTGTTGGAAAGAAGTCCGTTTTGACAGAGTATCAACCAGAATAAGCTTTTCTTGTTTCAGAATAAACCTGTTTTTGCACAGGGTTGTTCAGAAATGGTTATTCTAAAGTAGCAGCTCTGCAGTAACTCCACCACGTAGGCGATCCTTGAAGAAAGTGATGCGAGACTGCTGGGTGAGTGGTATTACATAAAACCAAGGATACTCTCAGGCATGAAGGCAGCAGGAAAACTTTTCTCCATGGAAATTAATTTCTTAATTTCCTCATCTTGGCACCCCCAGCCCCATCAGGCAGAGAAGAGTGACATTGAGAACAGCTCCAGTGGCGTGTAACACAACCTGTGGTTTGGCTGTTGACATGCTGCTGCCCGTCCAAGGCTGAAGGAACTGCTGCTGCTGCTGCCTGGTGGCAAAGCCCTCACCTTCCTGTCGAGTGAGAAAGACTTCCTCTTGGTCTCGGATTTGTACAAAATCATGCTCTGCTTTCCCACCGCGCGCAGGCCCATGGTGATGGGGGGTGTTACCCACAGTCACCACATCCCCGGCCCCAACAGGTCTCTGGGGCTGGGGCTGTGTCCCTGTGCCTCTGTTGGTGTCAACACAGCCCAAATGCAGTCTCCCACCACCTTCTGTCCCTGTTGCTGGCCTTGGGGAGGGCCTGTGGGGCCCCAGCTGCACCCACGCAGCTGAATTGCTCAGAAAAGCATGTTCTGGCTGCGTTTTTATCTGTACCCAGCAGGGACACCTCCTTGGGGCCAGCCCTACCAAACAACCTGGGCGCAGCCTCCTTTCCCATTTTCTCCCTGGGAGGCGGAGAAGAGTGAGTTTTAAATACAATGCTGCGAGTTCAGTGCTGCCAAGCAGAGCTTGTCTGCTCGGAGATGCAGCTGGAGCTCCTGGCTTAGTCCCGGCACAAGTGAAGTAAGGAAGGACAAAAGGTCTTCGTTGCTCTTATGCAAAGAGACAATTTCTATGGCAGCTGAGGGCAGCATTAGTATTCATGCCTTGGCTGGGCTGGCAGCAAAGCGGCTAATTTGATATTAACTGTGGCACAATGACTGGTTTTTATGGGCCTTGTCTCAATATATATCACAGGTAGCCAGCCAAGTGGCTTTTCATCCTAATTTACTTGGGGTATCTGCTCTCCTACCTGCTCAAGTGAAGGGGCTTGGTTTCTTCTTGCTATGGTGGTGGTTTTATTAAGGCTCCCTGCTTGGCTCGTGTGTTGTCATGTTGTAATCCTGTATTGGTTTATTTTTCAGCTGACCAAAGTTCCTCCTAACTCAAGTCATCTGTGTTTACAAATACTTTATTGTGTAATGTACTAAAGCTTTTTCCCAGTGTTTGAGTGAGACCGTAGATTTGTAGCTGAGACATTTCCACATTACATGCATTAGAAAAGTGTTATATTAAATGCGTAATGGAAATTATTTCTGCTCCAGGAAGCAAAATGATGCTGAGTGAAAGACAGAAAGAGAGATGAAAGTTTATATGGAAACAAGAGTATATTCCCCTTTTTCCCGGCCCACTGAAATGCTCCCTCCCCTTCCCCCTCGTGTGTCTCGCCACAGCACAAGGGTGTGCCAGAACATGTTCCCACAACCTTTCAACCCGTTCAGCACAGCCTGCAACTTTCCTGGCTATTTTTGTGTATTCCACTCAATGATTAAGTACTGAGGACTATGATAATACATCCTTTCACCAATGGTGCCCGGCAGAACTCAGTCTCAGCTGCTCATGGGCTGCTTTTCCAGATACTCTTCCTAAAAACTGGATTATCAATAGATTATCCTTCTGATCATAAGGGCATACACTTGAAGATGTGTTGTTCCCGGCCAGGACTCCAGCTCTTAGTAATCAAGTATTATTCTTGTTGACAATATGATTTCTGCATCTAACTGAAGCCCTGTGCAGACTGCCTTTGCCTATTATAAGCAAACCACCTCTATTATAAGATTAGCCACCTCTGGATCGAAACAGGGCAGCTATTTAATTATACGAAGCCAGAGCACGCAGTGGTTTCCTGAACACCTCCGGTCGGATAGCTGTACCTTAGCTTTGCTTTAATTTCTTAGTCTATTTACCAAATACGCTATGACATTGCCAATGATTTATACTTTATAGACAAGCCCCTTTCTGCTCTGACATCTGCCAGTTTTTCCATTGCTCAGCAACACTTGGGTGCTGCAAACCCCACTACCGTAGCAAGATTAATTCCATCTCACATTGACAGGGAGTAAGAGTTACCAGCAAACCACCGGGGCTCGCCAAACCTGTCAACACCAGAACAGTCTCCCATTTTGGGTTGAGGTGCTGCGATGCAGCACAGATAAACCATCACAATTGCTCCTGCAATATCAACTGACAGCGACCAAGGCACAACACATCCATTGTGACTGACAGGCAGCCCGCTGACAGCTCGCAACCCAAATCGCCTCCGTTTCATGTTGTATCCTGGGGAATTAAAAAAAAAGACCCCCAAAACTCCAAAATGATAGCATTCCCATTGAGCAAAGCAGGGGAGCACCAGCCACAGCAACGTGGGCAGGATGTGACAGGATCCAAAATCAGCACCTTTGTTTCCCACCTTCCCACTCGTCTTCAGGAGTCCCTGAATCCTTGAAGAGCCTTCATCCCCTGAGCTTCCAGGGAGGCTCTGCAGTGATGTTTGAAAGCAGGAGTTTGTCTTCCAAGGACCTTTGGCATCAGTGAACATTTCAACACTAAGGCCTACATCATTAAATAGAGCAGGGGTAATTGTAGGGAGCCAAAATCGGGATTTGGCCCTGCACAGACCTGCAGAGACAAGTGATTTTTCATGCCGAGGTGACCTGCTAGGAACAGAGTCACAGGGGACAGAAGGGGAAAGCACAGCCCTGATGGGTTTACTCTGGGTGTGGAAGACATATCTGCTCAGTCCCACGGGGCAACCAGGGAAAAGTCTCTATCCAGGAGCAGAAAATGAGACTGTTTTGGGACCTACCAGCCACAGCTGATGTGAGTTGCGCAGACACAGGGTCAGATTCCTGCAGATATAAATCAGCCAGGCTCCACCGACACCACAGCTCTGCTTGTTTACACTAATGGAAGGTGTTAACCACTGTATTCCAGGTGTTAGATTCTAATTTATATTTACTCTCTATCCCACTACGAGGCAAATCCCACTCATTGGCAGGCTCTTGGCTGAAGAGGGCATTGCATTATGCCTCTGCTTTCATTTTAAAAAGTAAAAGCAAAACCTTAACCTAGTCTTTCCATATTATGGTATGGAAATTCATGCCAAAACTGTGCTGTAAAAATATTTGGAATGCTAAAAATAGACTGGCATTCAAATAGCTGTTGAAAGGGGAAGCGTTCCCAACCAAACCTGGCACGACCAAAGCTGTTTATTTTCCATACGGTTATTTCCAAACAGGTTCAGCACGCGGAGCCATCATTTCCTCATAGGGTCTTTGTAAGCCCAGGTGCCACTGAAGGCAGTTCCTCGTGTAACTGTAGCTGGGTTTCCACTGCTGTGACCTGCCTTCCTGGCCAGGCGTCCAGTCTGGGCATTGCCGTCATCAAACCGGAAACTTTTTTCACCAAAGGAAACTATGAAGGTTGAGCTAAAGAGAACAAAAATCTCGACTCAGGAAGGATTATCATCCTCCCATTGAAGCCTCTGATGCCCCTCTATATTATTTTAAAGTCGGCACTTACTGATTTATCAAATTGACAGACAGATCCATGCATGAAACCTTTTGCTGCTCTCTTCATGCCTTGTGTTGATGCACACTGCTCATCTTCCACCACTGAAGTCATGCTGTGGTAAATCAAACATTAATATGTAAGCCTCCACAGCATCTTATCATGGCAAAATAATGATACCTTAGAAGCATTTTTTCCCCAGCTCAACTGTAAGTACCAATGTATTTTTTATACCTCTACAATCAATATTCATCTTTAAATATGAGAGACCTACAGCACTTCTCATGAAAGCATTTCAAAAGGCCAGAGCACAGGGGAAGTAGAAGGCTCACGTTATGGAGAGGAACTGATGCCAAAAGAAGCGATGAAGATAGTGTTGTGTGAACCCAGCAGAAAGGCAGAAAAGCAGTAGATAAATTTTCTTATATTATTCTTGTCTGATTTAAGCCTCAAACTATTTGTACCACATCATTAGCAAGAAAGGTCTGCTGCTGGTTCGGTTTGAACATCTTCTATGGTATTTTACACGACCATATTTGTGTGCGTGGTTCTAAATAAAATCTCCTTTGCAGCAGACTGCAACAGTCGGCTTCACACTTTTCCAAGGCAGAAAGCTTCACCTTTGTTCTTTCTTGCCAGCCTGCCTCACTTAGATTGAGCCTGGCTTCTTGATGACTGCCCGAGGTGGTTTCTCGGTGTGCTAGGAGAATCGTTTCAAAAGGCTTACTTGTTCTAAAGTGCACCAGAGGAATGCGGGGAAGTGCACTGGCAAGGGAAAAGATAAACAGTGCAAACAAAAAGAGCAGTTTAATCTTGCTCAGCTCTAACTCAGCTGCAATTCTACTTTCTCTAGGCGGCTTTGACACAATCAGGACGCAAGCGGGGGGCTAGGAAGTGCAGGTTGCAGTAGCACCCAGCCCCACCTTGACACAGAGAGACTGAAACACCCACAGAAAAAGAAAAGGTTTGCTCACTGGGCCATAATATACAACAAAATTTTCCTCTACCATGATTGCAATTTGTTGGTAGCCTCTGACATTTCTGTATCTATCAATCACGCGTAGCAGGAAGCTATGGTCTGCCTCCAGACTTACAAGAGATAATGATTTTTCCCTAGCAAGCCTGCAGCTGAGTCATTAGGTCCACCAGCTCCAGATCCCCTCTTGCTCTTTGCATGTTCTTGCCGGGCTGCCACAAACCACCCAAAAAAGCAGGCTTGGGCTGGGGAATCCCTCCCCACAGCCCTCGTCCATGGCAAATCCTGTTTGGCACGACCAAAGCTGTTTATTTTCCATACGGTTATTTCCAAACAGGTTCAGCACGCGGAGCCATCATTTCCTCATAGGGTCTTTGTAAGCCCAGGTGCCACTGAAGGCAGTTCCTCGTGTAACTGTAGCTGGGTTTCCACTGCTGTGACCTGCCTTCCTGGCCAGGCGTCCAGTCTGGGCATTGCCGTCATCAAACCGGAAACTTTTTTCACCAAAGGAAACTATGAAGGTTGAGCTAAAGAGAACAAAAATCTCGACTCAGGAAGGATTATCATCCTCCCATTGAAGCCTCTGATGCCCCTCTATATTATTTTAAAGTCGGCACTTACTGATTTATCAAATTGACAGACAGATCCATGCATGAAACCTTTTGCTGCTCTCTTCATGCCTTGTGTTGATGCACACTGCTCATCTTCCACCACTGAAGTCATGCTGTGGTAAATCAAACATTAATATGTAAGCCTCCACAGCATCTTATCATGGCAAAATAATGATACCTTAGAAGCATTTTTTCCCCAGCTCAACTGTAAGTACCAATGTATTTTTTATACCTCTACAATCAGTATTCATCTTTAAATATGAGAGACCTACAGCACTTCTCATGAAAGCATTTCAAAAGGCCAGAGCACAGGGGAAGTAGAAGGCTCACGTTATGGAGAGGAACTGATGCCAAAAGAAGCGATGAAGATAGTGTTGTGTGAACCCAGCAGAAAGGCAGAAAAGCAGTAGATAAATTTTCTTATATTATTCTTGTCTGATTTAAGCCTCAAACTATTTGTACCACATCATTAGCAAGAAAGGTCTGCTGCTGGTTCGGTTTGAACATCTTCTATGGTATTTTACACGACCATATTTGTGTGCGTGGTTCTAAATAAAATCTCCTTTGCAGCAGACTGCAACAGTCGGCTTCACACTTTTCCAAGGCAGAAAGCTTCACCTTTGTTCTTTCTTGCCAGCCTGCCTCACTTAGATTGAGCCTGGCTTCTTGATGACTGCCCGAGGTGGTTTCTCGGTGTGCTAGGAGAATCGTTTCAAAAGGCTTACTTGTTCTAAAGTGCACCAGAGGAATGCGGGGAAGTGCACTGGCAAGGGAAAAGATAAACAGTGCAAACAAAAAGAGCAGTTTAATCTTGCTCAGCTCTAACTCAGCTGCAATTCTACTTTCTCTAGGCGGCTTTGACACAATCAGGACGCAAGCGGGGGGCTAGGAAGTGCAGGTTGCAGTAGCACCCAGCCCCACCTTGACACAGAGAGACTGAAACACCCACAGAAAAAGAAAAGGTTTGCTCACTGGGCCATAATATACAACAAAATTTTCCTCTACCATGATTGCAATTTGTTGGTAGCCTCTGACATTTCTGTATCTATCAATCACGCGTAGCAGGAAGCTATGGTCTGCCTCCAGACTTACAAGAGATAATGATTTTTCCCTAGCAAGCCTGCAGCTGAGTCATTAGGTCCACCAGCTCCAGATCCCCTCTTGCTCTTTGCATGTTCTTGCCGGGCTGCCACAAACCACCCAAAAAAGCAGGCTTGGGCTGGGGAATCCCTCCCCACAGCCCTCGTCCATGGCAACCCTGCGGGTTGGCAAGCAGCGGTGTGAGCACTGCTGTGCCTGCGCATTGGGCTTGGCTTTTATTCTCAGTGCTTTGTGAGAACCTACACTTTGAACCAAAATAGGATGTCTCCTTCCTCCATTGAGGTGGCCTGGGAACACATGGACTTATTTCAGATAAAGCCCAGGGAGGTGAATGATTTGAGGTGCGTCACGGCTGATTAACAAAAATCCTTAAGTAAGAATAAGCCTCCCCTTTGAGCTCCTTTGAAATAACCTTTAGCACAAATGTCTCTCTAGGCTCAGGATATCCGAATGCAAAAGCAGACGGGTCCCAAGGGCTCCCTCCCCTGCCCTCTTATACCTTCTCTGCATCTTTTTATCGTAACGTATTTGCATTTAAAAGTAACAAAGGTAGAAAAAGTACACCTTGTGGGAAACTTAGCTCTGTTCACACAAGCTGCTAGCTTTTTTTAGCGTGACGCTTCCTGTGTGCTCGGGGAGATCAGTCGCTGTTTCTGGCAAAGTGCATTCCCAGCAGAGAGGGGCAGGCAGGAGAGAAGGGAGCACAGGACTGGGCAGCTTCTGTACAAGCAGCTAAGCAGCCCCTGGCAGGGCAAGAGGAGATACGGATTTGAAGGGGAGATTTTTTTTCATGAAGAAACCTCCCTTCCTTCTGGCCGCCTGGGAAGGTGGCAGAGAGAGCAGAGCATCTCTCACCACAAACCCATCTCTCTGAGACGCAGCTGTTGGTTTCAAGCGTGAGGGTGAACGGAAGGCTGCTGCCTCCTTGACCTGCCACCTCCAGCTGCAATGGCACCACTGGAGAGAGCAGCACTTCGGGGCCATCTCCTCACCCCTCTCTGGAGGCAAAGCTCTGGATAGTGCCCCGCCGTACCCAGAGTCACCTAGGGGATGGGGGGAAGAGAAACACTGGGGAGCAGCAGAGCCCAACATCCCGCACAGCTCCACACCCCATGTGCCGTTTGGGTTCAGCAGCCTTTTGCGACATCCCCATTTTCAGGTGGGAGAGCAGAGGATATGCCTCCTCTCTCCTTCCTCCAGCACCACCAGGTGCGTTTTGGGTCCTTGGTGCGCAGACCAAGGCTGGGAGCCCCTCCTGCTGAGGAGGCCTCCTGCCCACGCTGCCAGCAGCAGCCATGGTCATTCTTTCCGTGCGATAAATATGGAAACAGAGTTTGCACAAGGTCAGAGCTGGGAATAAATTCCATTGCTCAAATAGGAGAGAGCTAAGTTTCATTCACTCACCGCCGTTCCAGCTCCGCGTCAACGCCGTTTGTTAAGAGTGACCTATTACGCGTGACCCAGAGGCTGCCCTGGAAACTAAATTCACTTACTATCTCTCCTGCAAGCTTGCAAGAGCACCTCGGGTACAGCCAGTGCCCGAGCACACCAGCCGTGCTTGCTCCTGGAGGGGCTGGTGGTGCTTGCACAGGCTACACACGTTCGGGCAGCAACGAGGACAGAAAGCAAGAAGGCTGGGCACAGCGCAGCATGCATAGGATCTATAGGATGGATGCCTGTGCGTGGTGCTATGGACCCAAGCAAGGTGGCACAGCCTGGACTCGGATGCCTTTTCTGCATCCAGATGTCTACCACTTGCCGCTGGCAATGATCTCCCAGACCAAGCCGAGCCAGGAGCCCGGCGCCATCCCGCAGTGGTTGGGTAGCACGTGCCCCCTTCCCGAAAGGTTCATCTTGGCTCGAGTGGGAAAATCACTTTACCATGCATCTGGACGTTGCAAATAGGTCCAGTCGCTTGCCAAAAAACTAGCAGTTGGAGACCGTGCTAATAGATACACAAAGAAACAGAATTATGCATTACAGGCAGTTTTTTTTAAAAAAAACCAACCTGGCGTTTCAGCAGGCCTGAGTACTTGCCTTTGCAACCTAAAAAAGGAGGCAAAAGGACATTAAATATTCCATGTGTGGCATATGCTAAATATGGCAATTGCATACTGAAGACCATTAATCTCTCTGTGCTACCCATATTTCCCAGATCACATAGAAAAGACTTAATTTGGTATACCTGAAATACACAAGTGTTATCAAGGTTAATATATTATGGGCAAAACAACTGTCCATATGCATAACAACTGTTTGGTGAACATGGGAGAGGAAAAAATCTCATCTGACTATAGCTGGTGGCCTTTACAGTGTTCTGAATAGGAGATTACCTAAAAAATGCATGTTTCATTTGAATGATGAACCTGCTTCACATCTGTGCACCAGTATTTGAGATCTGCTCACATTTGCCCTGCAGTTGGAGTTAAATTAGTACTTATACACATTTATCTCTGGTTGAACAGACAAGAGTGTCATTTCAGGTAACTGATGTTTTGACTTGGGGGAATACACAGTGGAATAATGAAACAGCGCTATCGGGCCATAGATCATATTGGACGATGTGAATTCAAAATCTTAAAGCTATATCGAGTGAAGGTGAATTAGTCTACTTCATCCTCATGCAGGTTTGGATACTCAAGAAAAAGCATTCTCTGTCTTTGCTATCAAGAAGATGGACTAAGTGAAACTTAGGTCTCTCCTTCCCAAACCATTCCTGTTCATCACTTTAATTTTGAGAATTCAGAGAATAATGTCATTCTTATGCTTTGATATATATGGATGAAGAGGGAGAACGTGTTTTCAGGATGGAAAGTGGTGTAATTTACATGAGGAAACTCTAACACTGAAAACTGACCTCTGAAATCTTATAGCTTGCTACTCTTACAGACATAGAGCTGCTGTAGCCCAAGTCTGCAGAAGCCAGTTTTAAGACTCTTCAGAAAAACAAAGCAAATTACAGTCATTTCCAGTTCTCCTCACATACATTACTAAATTTTTAATTGTCATCCGTATGTGCACCACAACCAAAGATAATTCCTGCCCCAAGGAATTGTCAAATCTAGTTAAAGACTGATGAAAGTATAATTTATTACAGGTAAGCCACTTCCATATTTTAAAAGTATCCAATTAAACTTGAAAACATACCTGCAGAATCATCTGGTACCTTGTATTTATACAGATACGACTTCTCTAATTGAGTTAGGTGAGAATATGCATGCCCAGTGCACATCAGCGATGCTTGCTGATGGGTTTGCGCTATATTCCTTCAATATCTCCCTGGGGCCCCTCAGGCCAATTTGAAACCCGTACGCTGTTTATTTTCATTTTAGGCTCCCTCAGCGACCACATCATTTGTTCACTGACAGCACACTTGAAAGGCTCTATCGCTCTAGTCTGGTTTTACTTACAGGCTGCCCGAGATCTTTTCGGACGCCAGGGCGATAAGCATCACAGCAGGCTTGTAAAGCAGGGCAGCAGGGCTCACCTCTGGTGAAGGTGGTAAGAGGAGAGATGCAAAGGCAAGCTTGGGAGAGCGTAAACAAAGTTATCTACACGAGGAGTAAACACATCCATCTCTTGGCACGGAAGGAGAGTGGGAATTATGGCTGAATTAACTTTCTCTGCATTGCTACAGACTTAATGGGTTTGTAGAACGAGTTTAAAGAGACGTTCGGATGTTTACAGAGATCTTTCTGCTGTTTTCTGTTCTAAATACATTCTCCTTTGAAATATTGAGCCTTGAGCCAAACACTTTAAGTCTCTAATGAGAATTTTGCCTAAGTAATAAAATGAATAATGACTTCAGGTTTTGGCCCTGGATAAAAACAAATGTTCTTCCTGTGACAAAGAAAAATAATCCATTGATATGAAGTATGTAAGTGGTCACTGACACAATAAATCATTTCATAAATCCCTGACCACCGATCTTTCAAATGCTCTGTACTTTGAAACAGATATACTGCATGCTTTAGAAAGTACTTAGTTATGTAATTTTTCTAAGTATTCAAATGTCTCACGTGACTAATATTTGTTTTTAAGACAAAGCCCAAAGAGCAGTTGAGGTTAGCTGGCTTACGGCGCAATGGCCGGCTAACCTTCTGGGCAGATGTACTGCAGGAGCAAAGGGCACTTCTGAAACATCCATCTGCAGGCAGCAGCAACTTGGCTCTCATCTCTGGGTAACGGCACAAAAATATTCCCCTTGCATGATTTAGATCAATAAATCATCCTCTCCCTCGTGATACATTGGGTGATATTACTACACTTGTATAAAGTGTAATCAATGCTGCTGACTCAAACAATTCCCAGTTGGGTGTATAAGAAGGTTATCCTCACAGTTATCAGGAGCTGGCCCATGCGCACCATTGATAGTGAAATACCAGTAAGCTAGAATACTGCATCACAACTTCTGTTGATTACTGCTCTGAACGAATTATCTTGCCTCCTGTTCTCTTTCAGAAACCTCCTCAGTGGAGAGTTTTTTTCTCCTCCTGATGCTGTATACCTACACAAATACAAGTGACCAGCAGAGGACATCCCAGAAGAACAAAAAAATAATCCCAGGTAATCTGCTGAATTTGATTACTTGATTGAATTTGATATGCCTTTTCCAAGCTGATATAGCATCTGTAGTATGCCAGAACTGCTTGCCCTGGGTGGGTGAGGTAGAACAAGTATCTAAGGGTACTTGGTATATTTCCTAAGGGATATGGAGCGAGATGCATTCTCAAGATTCACGGTAAGAGATGGGTCCACGAATCTCCTGGCTAGCTTTGTGTTTGTCAACTCAGTGGTGCATCATATGGCCAGGACCATGTGCACTCTTTCAGGAGCATGTATGAACCGATGCGAGATACAAACGGGAAAACACATCAGGACCAGCCAAGTTATGCAATATACTTCCCTCACTCAGATATTCAGACAGGGTCCACTGGGTGTGATCTAAGAAGACAATCAAATAGTTTAAAAGTCAAAAATATACTCTTTTTTTTTTTCCCCACACTATTGAAGGAAAAGGCAGATTAGAGCATACTTTCCTAAGCTAGGCTTGGGTTGGTAAACTTGACATATTCTAAAGGATGGGTTTTTAAGGATCAGTACCTCCCATCCATAAATTAGCCCAGTATCTCCGTGCAAGGTCTAGAATTTTAGCAATAAGGCATTTTCCTGACCAGGAGCACCAAGCTGATTTTTAAACAAAACTGAAATAATTTATTTCTCACATACACTGGAGGGGAAAAAAAAGTGTGTAGCTCTGTTTGTGTAAAATCTGGAAAAGTAACTATTCTTAAATTGCCCCATTCATTCACTCAGATGTTTCTTTCTCCCCCATGTATTTTGTAAAGGAACAAAGCTCTTGAAGGTTTTAAATCCCACACGTCTACTGACAATGCAGTGCTTGGCCCTTTGACGTCTAAATTTCCTGCATGGCTCAAACTCCTCTTTTGTGAGACACCTTTTATTAGAGAACAGCCACTTTCGAAGTTGCAGGAAATTCCTGTAAGCTGATGGGATACTTTTTTACACCCCTACTGAAACCTCCACCTCAAAGCAAACTGTGAGGGGTATGTATGGGACTGGCTATACCTCCCCTCCTGAGGTGCAGCACTTTGCACCATCTCCTGCAGCTCTGCAGTGTCCACACAACCATGAGGGTCTCACCAGCAGAACTGACACTTAATTCTGTTGCGCCAAGGAAGAAGCCTGATAAAGACCTTAAAAAGAAGGACAAAAACCATATGCATTGTTTTTTCTTCTATGCTGGTGACCACAGCTTTATGCAAGAGCGTAAGGCAGGAAGTGAAGAAAGTGAGTTGTCATGCTCTCTTGCACCAACAGCTCTCTGCAGCTCCTCAGGCTAGTGAGAAAGGGATCTTTTGAAATGTGCTATAATAGGTAAACACACCACCGGGTGTGTCAAGGACATTGACAGCAATATTAACCATATTCCAGGGTATTTCTTTGTCTTTCTAGTTCAGACCCTATATGCAAACATCAGACATATGGACAAATAAATACGTTACATATCAGTGCCATGACTGTGCTTCCACATGGAATGAAGCAGGACAGGACTTTGCTGAGTAGCTGCCCGAAATTATGTTTGTTTTATGAGCCAGATTTAGCTGCACACAACTCACACTGATATAAGACTTACCTACTGTATGTCACAGCTAAATTAATTGCTCGTGCTTATCAGCTAATTAGTTTGCAGTTCTTTTTCTCCTGACTTAAGACACACTTACAGTCAGAGGGGAGCTGATGCACAGATGGCATTTTCTTCGTCATTGTTTCTGTTCCTTGAAGGGAAAGCAGTTTGTTGATTTTTTACAAAGAAATCCTGATGTTACCTGGTTTTCCACAGTGATGGAGTATTTCTCTCTGGAGCCTTTCCACACACTTTTATGGCTCTGGGACAGGTGTCTCTTCATCATCCCCCTCCTGTGGGCAAACAAAGAGATTCAATTCCAGCCTAAAATCTAATCAAGCACTGGCTTCCAATTAAACACCCATGCCTCTGTCTTCAAAAGTTTTCACCTTGTGCTGCAAACCCCACTTTTTCACACTGCCAGCACTGCTATTCCCAGTACGGTGCCTGCCAGCTTCCTGGTGGTCCTGGTGGGGAAGAAAGAAATGGGGAGAGGATTATGAGGGTCCCCTCAGTGCTGGGTTTCGGCTGTTCCCATTTTAAGTTCAAAGCCTTCCACATGGCAGCTGAATGGGAGGCTTTCCAAAATCCACAGGAGGCTGGGAAGAAATCCAGCATGACAAGGAATATCCTGACGGAAACAGAAGAATTGGCAAATAAGCATATGTGAAACGTACCCCTTTTTGTCACAACCAGAGGCACTGTTTTCCCAACAAACACCCTCCCCATTTGGAAAAGAACAGTCGCTACCTGTCTCTGTGGGTATGAGCCCTGCTGCCCAGCCAAAGAGAGCTTAAAGCAAGCGATCCCTCTTCTATCTACATTATACTGCTCCTACCTTTTGTTCCCTTTTCAGTGCTGCTGCCCTTTTTTTAACAGACGGTATTTTTCTAATATCCTAGACCTACAAACTATGGTAGTGTCATGCAAACGGGTTCATTTGCATGGATGAAGACTCATCACCAGCACAAGTTTTATAGGACTGGGCCTTATATTTGTCCTTTAAGTCCTTGCAACAATTTCTCTCCTGCCAAATCCCTTTCTGTCTAGATTCCTGCTCTTAGATTCAGACTCCATTTCCTGTGGCTTTGGTTTGGCTAGGGTTTGCGCTCTTTTTTCCTTCTTAATCCCTCAACTTTCTTTTGCTGTATTTTTTTGCCTCTCAAGCTCACAACAGCGTCTGTGTAATCAGACTCTTCTGCACAGCAACTGTAATGGCAACACTGCGGGTCTGCCTCAGAGCATTAGTTTGCAAGCATGGAAAGAGGCAGAGAAAAACTCCTCCATGTCTAAATCCTACCATTTACAGTATTATAATGGATGCTCTTTGCAGAAAGTCCTTTAAATGTTGGTGGGGGTTTTTTTTAGAATTATGATATCTCAAATGTCATACACGTTTCAGGCACAGAGTTTGTAATTGCACTAAAATAAGCACATCCTCAACTTTCTTCATAAGCAGAGATCCTAACTCTTTCCTGGTCTGCCTTGCCCTTTCTCCAGTGACTGCAATAATACCAGTAGTAATTCAGAGGAGCAAGAGGCTTCTCCTTTGTGTATATCAGTGAAAAGCCCAAGGACAGAGCAAGCCAGTGTTTCTGGCAGCGCAGCCACATGATAATTAAACAGCCCTGGTTACGTATCCGTCGGTGCAGGAATGGCATACTTTCCTGGTGAGTTGGCAGAGGCAGGTAATAAAGCTTGCATGCTTACACGTCCATTATGAACAGACCTATTAGGAGCCTCTCCTCCCCAAGGAATGCTATAGCATACATGGAAATGAGTCTGTGGTCACCCAGCGCTGCGCAGGTACCCAGCTGCGCACTCAGCAGACACCGAGCACGCAAAGCTCTACCGCACCTCCCAGGCAGAATCCAAATATTCTTCCTTAGAGAAGCAGGACCCTTCTCGTTTGAGCAAAGAGAGGGTCCGTTTGCTTTTAGCAGTATTCGGATCACAGAACAGAGCCATTTCTCACTCTCCTCAAAGAAAGATGGTTGTACATATATGCACAACCCCCAAGGCTTTTTTTGCTCCATCTAAAATCCTCCCGATTACTTGAAAAGTTTCTTAGCCAATATCTCATTGATTACTGTTGCTGTAATTCCTCCTAAAAAGATAGAGTATTTCAAGTGTTTCAGAGAAAAGTATGTCCCCTCTCTGCACTGACGTGTGTAGAAATGCTTCTCATACTTTCTGGATCTAGCTTATCTTTCCCAAGGGCTGAGGCATGACGATGCTTTGCTATTCTTTTCCCTAGTATTTAGGACGGTGCTTCTGCCTTTCTCAAAGGATGAGGGAGGTCAAAATCTTCTCCTATACATTTTGCTGAAGTTACTGTATTTCAGACAGGTTATTAATGTTAATGTTATTAATTGTTTTGGAACATATTTTTACTGCCTTACAATATTTATGGACTTTATTGTGAAGCATCTAACTGCTCCCTTTGGGTGTATTTCCTTTGAAGTAAGGGGTACAGTGTAAATATTTGAAATCTCAGAAGCTGCTAGGTTTAGGATCCATATGATGATGATTAGTATTTCCTTCAGGAACGTCATGCTTCTGGGATATTCTTAACATGGAACTCTTGCATCCCTCAGACAATCAAAACTCCCAGGGGATCTAGGGAAGTTACAGTCCAGCCAAGTCCACTTATTCCCACAGTTTGCTTTCCACACCTCATTAAAAAAGTGATCCAGAATTTCTCTTCAAAGCTTCAGCAGCTCCACACATTAAGAAGAAACCTTTCAGAAACAAACCAGCATATGCTGTTAAGTGCATACAGTACTCTGAGAGGGATTATATGACAATAAGGAAATACTTCTGTGCAAAAACCAAAACAGAAAAATATTTTGAAAAAGCAATGCAATACAAATGAGACCAGCAGCCCTGCCTGACTCCAAACTAGATTCCAAAGTCTTCAGGGACTCGTCTATGCTTACAAGTTCTGCTACTTTAATTATGCTAACACAGAGCAGCATAATGCCTTTCTGGCATAGTAGCAATTATACTGGTATGGTTTAGTCCAGTTACACACAGCAAAACAAAGTACACTGACATATTTTTTATAGCTCTGTATGCAGAGTGCATTTTTTACTGTCAATATATACATCATCAGAAAAAATCATATTATTGTTAGTAAAACCTCAGTCTCAACTAGGCATAAGTCCCAAATAAAGTCACCTGTGCTTGAACTTGCTTATTTCACTATCACTTCTCCCTGGGATTTTCTTCGGGGATCTTTTTATCACACCCACCCTTTGCCCTCACTGCCACGCTTCTGTGTGTGCTTCCACAGCTTCCAAACCTCTTCCCAGATTTTATTCCATTCTGGACTCCTCCCAATCCTCTTACAACACTTTCAGATCAAACTGACAGGTACGATCATCTAAATTCCAGTTTTCCTTCTAACAGTTGCTTCCTCTTCCTTCCTATCAGATGGGTTAACAAACCAGCTGCAGCAGAAGCCCAACACAAGCCCAGTTATTCCAGCAGGACAGGTGGGTGTTAAGCAATAATGTTACCTGCTTATTCCTGCATTTTCATATAGGAAGATAGGGAATGAATACAGTTTGGGAGAGGTATATTTTTTCTTCTTACCAGCAGACTGCCTCACCAGCCTATTTTCCATTGCAAAGAGGTTTCCCTCAGTACAGATCTTATTTTTCCCCATGTGAGCTCTCTCTGAGGCCCTTGCGCATTTAGATTTGTCAGATATTTGAATTAGAAATTAACAGCCACCCCACAAAACTGGATTAGGTACCCATATGTGTACATCTATCTTCCCTGCTGCTTCTCTACTAGCAGCAGGATAGTTACTCCCCACCACAGGACTGGAGTAACTCCTCCACACTTCCTGAAGTGTGTCAGCATCCCCTCAGACCCTCTACACACATTAACACATCCTTCTCTGATGCAACCACAAGCTGGAGGCAAAAAGGGAGGGAATTTTCCATCTGAGGTGAAGACTGCCACTGCCTCTGAGTATACATCTTCATGCCACAGTTGGCACCAGTACTTTGAAGAGGGGTCCGAGAGCCCAGGCTCACCTATTAAAAATGTATATGAAAAGCTATCCATTTATGTTACTACCAGTCAGACTGTCCAGGGAGATCTCCTGCAACTCTTTGGACTGGTCCACTTGACGATTATGTCTCCATTGGTTGTGTCAGCTGCAGAAGCAGTTGGTTTTTTGAGAGGGGAAGTGTGAGAAGGGCATTGGAGAACTGCCTGCACTTCACTGATGTCTTCCTTGCAGACAGGATAGGTACCAGGCTGCTGTAAAACATCACTCAAGGAACTAATCCACAACCTCAGCCATAAAAAACCCTTGCTTTCACCTGAAACACTTTCAAGGTTGTATCTCTGGGAGCTGGGGAGGCAAAGGGCTGCACAGTGCTGAGTACGGTGGGGTTTTAATCCCTGCTTATTTCACGACTGTCATTTAAACAACCTAGTAACAAACCAAGGAACAAAACTAACTGATGTGACAATCAAAGGAAAACAACCCAAGCTTCAAAATCTGACTTCCTCCATATTTACTTGACTCCAGTGAGAACAGACAGACTGCAAAACAGTGGCAGGAGTAGGAAACTGAAGCCCCGTATTGACTGAAACATTAGCCTGAATCCTGCCGTGACCCAGATCACAAAGATTAAAAGCACCACAATCCTTGAACTAATGAAGTAGGTAAGTGGCTAGGGCTTAACGTTGGTGTGATACTTGGGTTGCAGTTTGTGCACATAGTGCAATAAAGAGAAACTCGTTGGCTAACTGATGATTTCCCCTCCCCCCCCGACTTTTTCTCAGCCTGTCTGGAACCAGCACTTACGTTCTCGTAGCGGCTTGATCCTGCCAACAATTCAGAGGGGGACGCTAAATGCTGGTAGTGTCGGAAATGTAGTAGTAGAGAAATGGCTTAACTTTCTCCCATCGGCTGCCCTTTTTTATTATTTACACTGTAAGCTGGTTAACTAGGGCAGGGACAACTTATTTTTGTGGATTTGCACGCCGGATTCAAACAACAGCTACTGTATTTCACCAGGACCATTAGCTGCTGCTATAAAAAAAAAAGTCTAATGATTACTGAAAAAAACCACATGTAGAAAGGGCAGAAGTCCAACGATAAGTGACATCTAGTACCGTTATGTGACAGTGACAGCAAACAAGACACTAAACAGCACTCGTTATCAAAGGAACAATTACAGCACTAGTGGTTGTGGGTGAATGTGAAATCTCTGTATAAAAGCCTGTACCTCTACCGTGTTGCTTTAATAACAAAAGCAAATAAGACACCGAGCTACTAAAGTGCTGCATAAAGAGGGAAGATGATACAAGCAAGTCAGGCACTATTGCGAGTCACTTCAAACTTCACATAGCCCCCAAATATACCACACTTTCTAAACCTCTGTCTAGCAAGCGCGAGCAGTTAGAGCTTGTGGCAATGGTTTTGTGAGGTATTCAGATACCACAGCGATGGCTGCCACAGAAGTACGCACGCTTACAAAATATTTCATAGATGGTT